GACTTTTGTGTGAAAAATGAAAAAATTTGTATTCTATGGCATACATATTTACTCCTGGAGGATGTAGACCCCAGGAGTTGATAGCATATCCAAGAGGAGTGGTTGGCCTTTAAATTGATACCAAATATAGTGATGTATCTACTCAGATGTGGGAGTTACAGTCAAATATTTACAGGTGCTTACGTATTCAGATATTATTCAGTAACCCATTACCACATTAGAGGGAGAAATATCGCGCTGATGGCTTTGACATTTTTCATGAAGTTCCAGTTATGGTCAAGAACAACGCCTACAATTTTCGGTGATGATCAGATTAAAATTTTGGGATGAAATGGACCGAAAACATAATTTTTTGTGTGTTTTCGAGTAGAGTATAATCCGAAAATCACAACACAACCCACCGTGAAGGTAATCTGGACAAGTAATTAGAAGGACTGTACTGAATATTCGAAAAAAGTAAGGAAGAGGTGTTGTTAACCTCTAATCGGACAAGAGGGGGCAAATATCACGAAATATTACTCAGACTCAGAATAAACATCCTCAGAAAGTTAGAGTTCGTGGTAGTTGTGTAGGGTATCGCATGGTCGGCCCCGTCCGACTATACTGCTCCGCTCACTGGTTTTGTCATAATTTATTTTGACAAAGGGAAACTTAAGAAATGTCAACATTCTCATTCATATGACATCCAAATTTAGTATATACATAAAAAATAATTAATGTAGCTTTTATTTTTTTTTCTTTTTTTTTTTTTTTTGTTAAATTCAGTAAAATATTCCACAATAAATATTTTATTCAAAAATAATCTTTGTCAGCAAAATATTGCCCATTCATTCATCTATTTCGTCATCATCTTTGCCACCAAATATTTCCCTTCCACTGCCAAGTGGAAAAAATTCCATAGCCATCACAAATTCCATTGACCACACTTGTTTTTCAATGTGATGAAAACACTAACATAGGCACAACGTCAGATAACTGCCACTGAATCAATTTTTGTGTTGAAATATTTTCCCAAAATGTTTTCTTTGTAGTCGATCAATTTTTTGTTTTTCGTTTTTTTCGTAGAAATAATAAACAATTCGATTTGACTAAACGCAGATTTTTACTTAACTCCAAAGTGTTTTTTGGGGTTCCATGTCAATCTAATAAAATGGCAACTAATAGCCACTTTATATTTAAAATAACAAAGCGGGGGAAAATAACACAAACAAGTCATAAAAATTTTACACAAATAAATACGAAGTGAATGTGGTGGATGGGGTGCGGGAAATAACCAACTCAGCACAAATGGCAATGGACATTGCTGTTGATTGATTTATAAACATTTCAATGTTAATAAATTGAATTTAATATCTTTCTAAAGAGATTTTATTTGTTTAGAAGTATAAGTGACAAGCTTTTATAATAATGAATAAACAATATTAGAGCAATAGCAATTGATGTTATAAACAATCATTTTTATACCCTTCACCACACTGTGGTACAGGGTATTATGTCTATGTGCATATGTTTGCCAGTGAGCGGAGCAGTATAGTCGGACGGGGCCGACCATACGATACCCTACACAACTTCCATGAACATCTAACATTCTGTGGTTCTATATTCTGAGATTGGGCAATATTTCGCAATATGTCATAATTGCGGTCTGTGGAGCGACTAGAAAAACCGACAAAAATAAAGTGTTTGGTCCATTTCATCCCCTAAATATTAACCGATCTTTTCCAAAAACAATAGGGGTCTTCATTGGCCAGAACCCATCCTACATGCAAAATTTCGTGGAGATTGGTCCAAAACTCTGGCCTGTATCGTGTTCACAAATTATAATGGACAGACGGACTGACACAAATGTCTAGATCGACTCATCTAGTCGAGATATGACGATCGGTATACTTAAAGTTGGGTCTAGGACCAATATTTCGCGGCGTTACAAACATTTGGGGCTGCACAAAGCTATAATACCCTGACAACATAGTTGTGTAGGGTATAACGAGATAGACACATGGTTCCTTTTGAAAATATGCACTTTCTGGGTCGATTTATGCATGTCCGTCGTCTATCTGTCCGTCTGTAGATGTTAAATTGTAAACAAAGTACAGGTCGCATTTATAATCCGATTTGGATGAAATTTGGCACAGCTCATTTGTTTGGCCCAAGGACGAACCCTATTGAAATTGGGAAAAATCGGTTCAGATTTAGATATAGCTCCCATCCCATTAGATATAGCTTAAATCGTCCGATTTAAGGTAAATGGTGTACGAAAGTCCCTAAATATCTCTCGATTTGCACGAAATTTGGCCCAGCGTAATGAATAAGGTCTAGAATGATGTGTGTTAAGTTTCCAGAAAATCGGTTCAGATTTAGATATAGCTCCCATATATATTTTCGTCCGATTTAAGGTAAATGGTGTACCAAAGTCCCTATATGTCTTTCGCTTTGCACGAAATTTGGCACAGCGTAATGAATTAGGTATAGAATGATGTGTGTTAAGTTTCGTGAAAATCGGTTCAGATTTAGATATAGCTCCCATATATAGTTTCGTCCGATTTAATGTAAATGGTGCATCAAAGTCCCTATATATCTCTCGATTTGCACGAAATTTGGCACAGCGTAATGAATTAAGTATAGAATGATGTGTGTTAAGTTTCGTGAAAATCGGTTCAGATTTAGATATAGCTCCCATATATATATATTTTCGTCCGATTTAAGGTAAATGGTGTACGAAAGTCCCTATATATCTTTCGCTTTGCACGAAATTTGGCACAGCGTAATGAATAAGGTCTAGAATGATGTGTGCAAAGTTTCGTGAAAATCGGTTCAGATTTAGATATAGCTTCCATATATATTTGCATACGTTTAAGGTAAATGGTGCATCAAAGTCCCTATATATCTTTCGATATGTACGAAATTTTACATAGCGTACTGAATTGAGTCTGGAATGACGTGTGTTAAGTTTCCTGGAAATCGCTTCAGTTTTAGATATAGCTACCATATATATTTTCGTCCGATTTAATGTAAATGATTCACCAAATCCCCTATATTTCTTTGGAAATTTTACATATCGTACTGAACTGAGTCGATAATGATGTGTGCTAAGTATCGTGTATATCGGCTAAGGTTTAGATATAGCTCCCATATACATTTCTATTCGATTTAATGTAAATGGTGGTCCAAAGTCCCAATATATCTTGTGATTTGCTCGAAATTTTGCATGGCGTATTGACATGATTATAAGTTTCGTGAATTGAGCTTCTTGAAAGTTTCTTGAAAATCGGTTCAGATTTAGATATAGCTCTCATATATATTTTCTTCCGATATTGTGCAAATTGTGGATTAAAGACCCAAAGTTCGTCCGAGTTTGTATAACGTGTGGAGAGTGTCGTTGAAATCGGTTCAGATTTAGATATAGGTCCCACATATATTTATTTTCGTCGGATTTTATGTAAAGGTTGCACATTGACATGCGTATGGACTTGAGTCGCCTAACATATAACATTTAAATATACCCAAAGTGGTGAAGGGTATCATTAGTTTAGTAAAATCGCAAATTTATACCTTATGTTCTCTATATACTCATGGATTCTATATTTTAATTTGTGAATCAAAGTTGAGATGTCTCACGTGGCCACAAAAAAGTAACGTGCTGTCACATGTTCTCACTTCTTCGAGGGTGGGGTCCAACCGATTTTATATTTTTATTGCGGACCGCATGGTGTAGATTATACAGTAGTTTTCGTTTATAGTCCACAACTATAGTTGCACAACTTTTGTGGACTATAAGCGAATTTGGACTATATCCGAATTTCATTTTAAGTCCATTACTGGATTATAACTGAATCGTGATATAATACACGTCATGGACTATACACAAAACATGTACTTTTCTAAATAAAATTTAAGTTTATTAAAACAAATTCATATATTTATTTAAAATAAATAAATTGTTTAAACAATAACTTATTATTTTTTTAATTCAAATACTTTGAAAGCTTATTGTAACGAAAAAATTAAATTATGAGATCCATTTTAAGTCTTTGGGGGATTAAATAAAAAAAAATCGAATTGCTCACTATTTTTAAAAAAAATCAGTAATCTTAGTTTGCTTCTTTTTTATGGAACTTATAACAAACGACTCTATTTTTTCAAAAAAATGAGTTTACTCTATACTTGGCACTCAGTTGTCCACATTTCATATTATTTTCTTCATAGTCTTTCAATAATTTTAATTTTTTCTCCACACTCAATGTAACGCGCGTACCCATTTTCACAACTTCTATGAATCTAGCAATTTTTGACATTTATAAATGTTGCCAGAAATCCAAATGCCATTCAAGTTCAAAAAACTGGGTGACCTATATGAAAATTTCAAAAAACAGGTGCCAGAAATCCAAATGTCATTCAAGTTCAAAAAACAGGGTGGCTTATATGAAAATTTTTGTCTATGCAATATTAGTTTTGCATGCACAGAAAATGTGGCCTATAAACGAAAATGGACTATAGAACAAATAATTTGTATGAATTTGGAAGAAAAATGTCAGTAAATAGTACTTTTTTCGCTTATATCCGTTTTTGGCCTTTAAGCGAAATGGACTATAAGCGAAAACTACTGTAACTAGTAGAGCTACATACGATGGTTTTAAAGGTCATTTTAAGGCAGTCGCATCTAAAATCTTTAATTTTGAAATAGTTGTTCCAGCTTGCAAGCTTTTTTGCAAGCCTCTTTCCAAAATTATCAAATAAAACAAAATCGACTGTACTTCTCCGTTCAAGTTTATTTCAAAGACAAAAATTTGTAGTTACAAAAGAATATATCGATGGCGACCAAAAATCAATAGCAAGAAAGCAACAGCGATAACCAACAACAAAAATGATTACATTGATACAGTTAATGTTTATATATTGAGTGATTTCTATAAATGAATGTTCGCATATATATGTTGTGTTACAATTGCACTCATTTACATTGCTTGCTTTTGAAACGAATGGAATTGATGCAGCGGACATTATTTTGTGTTGGCATACACCGACTGCTTATTCACCGTACATCCTCCCCCCGTTGGAAGTTTTAAACTTTCAACAGAATCATCTTCAATAGCCAATACAGCTAGCTTAGTTACAGCTCGTCGACATGTTCCACTACTGGTTTTGATGATAGCAACACGAACCACATCATCCTTTCCGCGTATTGTTTCCAGAACACGACCTAGCTGCCATTTCTGAGGTGGCAAATTTTCATCTTTTAGCAAAACCATTTGACCTTCTTTCACACTCGCTGAATGCATTCGCCATTTGTTGCGCTCCTGTAACTGAAAAAGATACGAAGAACACCATTTCTTCCAAAATACCTGTTGCATATAGCATACTCGCTGCCATCTATTTAAAGTATTTATATTCAGCTCGGTAACATCAGGTTCCATAATAGCTACCAATGGCGCGCCAACGAGAAAATGACCCGGAGTCAATATTTCGAGATCATCTGGATTTTCAGTTAAGGGGCACAGCGGACGAGAATTTAAAATGGCAGCAATTTGGCAAACTAAAGTTCTCAGCTCTTCAAAGGACAACAATGAAAGACCAGCTACTCGATAGAAATGATATTTAGCTGCCTTCACTGCAGCCTCCCAGAGTCCCCCAAAGTGTGGGGATCTTGGGGGAATGAATTTCCAATCTATTCCATCATCCAAACATTGCTTAAAAATTGCGTCCATGTTGTCTTGATTGAAGAAAATGTGTTTCAATTCAGATAACTCATTTTTAGCGCCAACGAAATTGGTCGCGTTATCTGACCAAATGGTTTGGGGTTTTCCACGTATACATATAAAACGCTTTAGAGCAGCCAAAAACGAAGGTGTTGATAAATCTTGCACTAATTCCATGTGACATGCCTTTGTTGAAAAACAAACAAAAACGCATATGTAGCACTTTACGGGAGGCCTATTCCTTACGTCCGTTTTGTAATAAAATGGTCCACAAAAATCGATGCCGGTGGTGAAAAAGGCTCTGTTGGCACGCACTCTATCCTTCGGTAAATTTCCCATCACATGACGCGCTATTTTGGGCTTCAGATGAAAACATCGAATGCATTTCCTAATAGTGCTGCTAATCGATTTAAGTCCGCCAATTGGCCAATATTGTTGTCGAATATTTGCGAGCAGGCACTGTGGTCCAGCGTGTAACAATTTTTCATGAAAATGCATAATTAACGACTTTGTGACCGGATGGTATTTTGGCAAAATAATTGGATGCTTTCCTTCGTAATCCATATTTGCATAATGAAGACGACCACCCACTCGAATTAAACCAAATGAATCCATTATTGGGTTTAACGAATGCAACTTACTTGATGACTCGATATTCGAACCAGTACATAAACGTTTGTATTCGCTTTCAAAATAAATTCGTTGAATACTCCTTATTAACATATATGTACCCTTTTTAATGTCATCAAGGGATAAAGATTTTGGAGTTTAATTTTCTTTACGAGAAGATTTTAGTTTGATAAATCTTTGCATGTAGCCAAATATTCGTTGAAGTTTTGCAAATGAATTGTAATATTTACACGATAATGAAATATCTTCAATCTTCACTGCCGTCAGGACTTGTCGTCGTTGCTCTGGTAACTCAGTAAGATACTCTACATGTTGAGGCCAATTCGTTGAGTTTTTTGATAAAAAATCTGGACCGTTTTTCCATAGACTGCAATTCAATAGTTCCAGAGGACTAGCTCCTCTGGACAAGATATCACATGGATTCAAAGATGTTGGTACGTAATGCCAGACCATTTTACTCGTAAGGCTCTGGATGCGACTTACCCGATTCGAGACGAAAATATTAAATTTCGATGGATGTTGACGAATCCACGACAGAACCACCATTGAATCCGACCAGCAATGATATTCCATATCGTTCGACAAGACCTTTGAGACACTTTCCAATAACTCTGCCAGCAGCAACGCAGCAGACAATTCTAACTTTGGCACAGTCAACGCCTTCAATGGTGCCACTCTAGATTTCGAACATAGCAGATGAGTGGTAACTTCGCCATTGTATTCTGATCGAGCATACACGCATGCACCGTAAGCAGACAGGCTAGCATCGCAAAATGCATGAATTTGTATAGTGGAATTTGATACCGAAACGAAACGAGGAAATACAAATTTATGCAGTTTTGAAAATTGTGAAACAAATCTTGACCATACAGTGTGTAAATCTTGTGGCAAACTTTCATCCCATTGTAGATTCCTCTGCCATAAGCATTGCATTATAACCTTTGCTTTTGATATTATCGGACCTATTAAACCCAATGGGTCATAAAGCCTTGCGATACACGATAACACCGTTCGTTTGGTTACAGTGCATGATTCCTGAGTAGGCTTGAACGTAAAAATTAAATTATCAGCTTTTGGATCCCACATTAAGCCTAAGGTTTTGGTGATATCGGTACCATCATGAAATTTTAAAAACTGCTCACAATCGGCTAGTGGCACTCCCGTCAATACATCCAAATAATTTGAGCACCATTTCCGTATTTCAAAATTACCCCTTTTCAACAAATCACTGACTTGTTGTCTAATATCCAGAACTTCTTCAATAGTGTTACCTCCAGTAATTAGATCATCAACGTAAAAATCGCGCCTTACAATTTTAGCTCCCAATGGGTATGAAGTTTCTTCATCATGCGAAAGTTGATGCATTGATCTAATTGCCAGGAACGCTGCTGGTTTAGTGCCATAAGTAACTGTGTCCAATTTGTACACTTTTATATCTTCAGATGGATCATTTCTCCAGAGCACACATTGGAGGTAATTGTCGGGATTAGACACTCGTACACAACGGTACATCTTGCAAATATCACCACTTAGAGCGACTTTAAAAAATCGAAACCGAAGTAAAGTCTCAAAAAGTTTTGGTTGAATTGTTGGGCCAGCGTAGAGTGTATCATTCAATGATAAACCTGATGTTGTTTTTGCCGAACCGTCAAACACAACACGCAGCTTTGTTGTTGTGCTGTCTTCTTTACGTATGCAATGATGAGGTAAAAAGAATGTTGGAGTGTTATTTGGCAGAGATGGGACTGGCGACATATGATTTAAAGTTGAGTACTCTTTCATAAACTGCACGTACATTTGTTTTAACTCAACTTGTTTGCTAAGCTTCTTTTCAAGAACCAAAAAGCGTCGAAGGGCTTGATCATATGAGCTCCCGAGATCACGGCAATTTTCCTTTTTGGGCAGTCGTACGGAATATTCACCCGAATCAAGACGAATGGTATTTTTCTTAAAATGTTGTTCACAAATATCATCCTCTATATTTGGTTTGATGTCCACGAAATTATTTTCTATCTGCCAGAAGCTCTGCATGACCTTAGTTAAATTGTCACTATCGACACATTTACATGCTGCAGTCAAAGAGCATGCCCTTGACGGGTTAGAAATTCCTCCTGATGCGACCCAACCCAATACAGTTTTTTGGAATATGGGAGAATTGTCGCTTAATCGAATTTGTCCGACAGACAATAAATCAAAAAATATGCCAGCTCCTATTAGTATGTCGATTCGACCATGGCTATCAAAATTCGGGTCGGCTAGTTTTATATTCGGCGGAATTATCGACTTATTAATTGGAGGGGTTGTGATGGGTTGGTAATCGGTGATGGTAGGTACGACAACTGCAACGAACGATGTGGTATAATTTCCAAAATGAGACTGGATAGTTAGGTCGACTGATTTATCAGCAACAAAATTACCATTACCAATACCTGATACAATGAATGATGAATCATTTACCTTTAAATGCAATTGATTTGATGCTCGACGGGTAATAAAATTCAATTGAGATGCAGAATCCAATAGTGCACGATATGGTACAAATTCACCAAGATGACCTTTGATTAACACAATTGCCGTCGCTAACAAAACGTTTGTACTCGAATGTGCATCTACAGAGTCCGTTTTCGACGAAGCCACAAGAACCGATTGTGAATTATTAGTATTCAGATCAGCTTGTTGGGGTGATATGTGAGCCGCCATGTCACTGTTCATATTCTCTATATGCAGCATGGAATGATGCTTCGATGAGCAGATTCGACAACGAGAAGCCCTACACTTCCTCAGCATATGACCCTTCTTAAGGCAATTTAAACATAGCTGTAGTTTCTTAGCTTCCTTGAATCTGATTGATGGCGACAAATTCTGAAACCCTGGACAACTGCTTATATAATGGTCTTGGGAATCACAAAACGAACACAATGGAGTTGATGATGTAGAAGCAACAAGCGCACTACGACCAGAAGAACTCCACTTTTTGCTCACCTTATTGCTGCTTACGCCCATTGCGTTTTCTAAATTTTCGAGCATTCTGCACCTGCGTTCCAAAAACGTAGATAATGATAACCATGTTGGCAATTTATTACTTGGAAGCTCCTCCTCCCATTTCGCCTGGGACTTCGAGTCCAATTTTGATGTTACTAAGTACACCAAAAAGCCGTCGGCTATTTCATCCTGCTTGCATATTGATTGCAGAGCTCGCATATGGGAATTTAGTTTATCGCTCAATTGTCGTAGGCTTGACGCCGATCCTTTATCCACGCACTTCATTCCAAAAATCTCCCTTATATGAGCTTGGAAATTTAGAAGTTTGTTGTCGAATCTATTTCGCAGGAGATCGAGGGCCTTATCGTAGTTTTCCTCAGTTGGATCTAAGGAAGAAATTGTATCCAGTGCGGCACCGGTAACACTCACACGAAGATGTTGAAATTTCTCAATTTTGCTTAGATCCGGATCGTTGTCAATTATGGTGTTAAACATCGCTATAAACCCTGGCCAGTCAGTATATGATCCACTAAAATGCGGAATCTTCAATTCGGGCAAACGTAATTTGCGCTGTGGCATGGTTTCGTCCAAAGAATATTGACGCATGGTGGATGAATGTGATACGGCTGGTCGCTTTCTTTTATTGCTCAGTTCCCTAGAAAGCTTAGCTTTAACCTCGAAATACAGGTTAACAAAACTCGAAGCTATTTCAGCATCAGAATCACTTACGTCACAACATATAATCGTAGACTGGGCCTCTTCGAAATGATTATGCAATCCATCGACGTAACCAAGTCGAACCGAAATGTCCGACTCATCCATTTCAGCCAAATACCTAGTTGTCAACGAAATATTTAGGACAGACAATTGTTTTTGCAGGAATACAACCTTTTTCTTATATGACTGCCAGCTGGATTCTTCATTGGCCACGCCTAATGGGGATGTGGTCTCATCACTCGACATTTTTAAATTTTATATACGGCAAAATAAAATACAATCTTGGTTGAAGAAGATTTATAATTCTGGAAAGAAATATCCGAAATGATATTGAACCGGAAAGTGTGATACTTTTGATCACGTCGGGGTCACCAATGTTCCAGCTTGCAAGCTGTTTTGCAAGCCTCTTTCCAAAATTATCAAATAAAACAAAATCGACTGTACTTCTCCGTTCAAGTTTATTTCAAAGACAAAAATTTGTAGTTACAAAAGAATATATCGATGGCGACCAAAAATCAATAGCAAGAAAGCAACAGCGATAACCAACAACAAAAATGATTACATTGATACAGTTAATGTTTATATATTGAGTGATTTCTATAAATGAATGTTCGCATATATATGTTGTGTTACAATTGCACTCATTTACATTGCTTGCTTTTGAAACGAATGGAATTGATGCAGCGGACATTATTTTGTGTTGGCATACACCGACTGCTTATTCACCGTACATCCTCATTAGCCATAATGCTGAGGTTATAATTATCCATTATAAATAAATTTTAAATAAATTTCTGCAATTTGTATTAAGGTTTACATAATCCGTTTTTAGAAATGTTGGTATACGTCCACTTATTGGTATGTTCCCTATATTTTCATTTCTAGTACCAGTCAGTATATCTATGGTGGGGGGTATCTAAAGTTCGGCCAGGCCGAACTTAACGCTTTTTCAATTGTTCTATTTCTTTTCACCACAGATTTGTTCGCACTGTTTTAATTTTATTTTGTGCCGTTCAAATTTTGTTCACTGTCACAGATTTTTCTTTTATTGTCGCTGGTTCAATTTACACTTTTTCACTGAAATGAAGTACCTGTTCCACTTTCTTTTAAGTTTATTATTTTGATGTTTTCACTGAATTTTATTCTTTTTCTTTATTTAAAAAACACTATTCGGTTCGCAAGGACCATATGTTTAGTGTATAAACCGTATTTTTTGTTTTTCCCCTATTTTTATATTTAAAAGATGTTGGGTGGAATGCTTTTGCCGAACGGTAACTAACTCCTTTGCTGGCCACTATGCTTTTTAAGCTTAATTATGTTTTCCAAAATTATTGGAAGGCAGCAAAGGGTATTGGCACATACAAATGTATGTGTGTACATATTTATTTGTAAATATTGGGTACCGCTAGCCAATTTTTGCAAAACAACATTACAGAGGCTCCCATAAGTATGTTACCAGACCATACAGTATATGTATGGGGTTTTTTCAATTGGTTCAAATATCTAACCATATAGCACTTTCCTTAATGGTTCGAAATACATATGGAAGCATTGGCTGCATCTGCACCAATTTCAACAAAATACGTTGTGAAAAATTTCGTGTTAATCGGATAAACATTAGGAGTTTGGTGCGCCATTTATGAAAATCGGACGAATATATATGTATATGTAGGAGTTATATCGAAATCTGAACCAATTTTTCCGAAACTCACAATACATCATTCTAGACTCAATTCAGGGAGATTGATGCACCATTTACTTAAAATTGGACTAAAATATATACAGGAGCCATATTTAAATATTAACCAATTTTCACGAAACTTAGCACACATCACTCTAGACTTCATTAACACTAAATTGCCGAAGGCGGTCATTTTGACCGTCTTCCAATTTCAAGTACAAAAACAACTGTGCATATTATGACCTTTTTTACAATATGGTGACTTTTTGGACCACATAGAATTACGTTTATTATAAAAAAATCACCAAATTAAAAAAGGGTAATTTTATGCACAGTTCTTATTGTACTTGAAATTGAAAAACGGTCAAAATGACCGCCATCGGCAATCTAGTGTTAAGTACATTATGCAAAATTTCGTATTGAACGAAAGATATATAAGGACTGTGGTGCACCATTTACATTAAAATGGAAGAAAATATGTATGGGAGCTATATCTAAATCTGAGCCTATTTTCACGAAATTTAATACACACCACTCTAGACTTAATTCAGTACGCTATGCCAAATTTTATTTTGCCATGGTCTGAAACCAAAAATATAGTTTAAATCTAGACAGAGCTTTGACATTATGGTGTATGTAGCTTTGTATCAACACCACAGAAATGTGGGAGCATAAAAGCCAGACAGACAATTTGATGTGATATTTTGCCAACAGCTGGTGTGAAAGGCATTTTAAATATTGCATATTTTTAGGATCCTGTGTCAAAAAAAGGTGTAAAAAATTACTCAAAACAACAACAGAGACATATGCATTTTTTCATAAGACATTGTTTTTTAAACATATGCATTTTTTCATAAGACATTGTTTTTTAAATAGTTTTCACAATTAAAGTTAGCTACCGCAAATCTTCATAAATTGTCCAAATACTTTATTAAATTCCCGAAAACGTATAGTGCTACAATTTCGTTTTAAACTTTTGAAATAAATTCGTAAATTTCATGGGGAAATCCGAGCAATTTCTTGGCAATATTTATGACTTTTGTGATAGTGTTTTGTTGGAGGGCTATGGCAAATAAAACACACTACATGCGGATAGTTTGTGTTGATATTAACAACTAGTTGCGTGCCATGTTTTTAACTTCAAATCTTAATAACACTGTGCGACAAATTTGAATTTTTTGATAATTACCGGGAAATTCCAACAGATTATGAAAGAGGGGCTAAAAAAGAAGACACGTGTGTCGGGTTTTGAAAGTTTACGTCGGGAGGTAACCTAAAAAGGGGAACAATATGCCCCTTTGTAAAGAATTTTAATAATTTTCGAATTATGATTTCTTGAAATCCTTGCATTTTATGTATATAGTTTCTTCGGCAATATTACTGATAAAATTCATTCAAAACGTGGTTAAAGCTGCTCAGAATATTCTACAGAAATGTTCGCCATTATACATTATTACATTTTAAATTATATAATAACAACAATTTTTTTCAGACTTCAGTTAATTCTATACTGTAAATGTCTTAAAAACTATTGAATATAAATATATAGTTTATTCTGAGACTTTAATGCACTTAGTCGAAAAAATTACGGGGAAATGTCTTAAAAAAAAAATTGGTTCTAAATGTATGACTATACATTCTGTATATACATTATATATACAGATTTCTCTTGTTCAGTGACTTATGATAAAAATTGATGGAGAATATTTTTGTCCCTTACACTATCCTTCTAAAACGACATCTTGTGGAAAAATGTGTAAAAATTAGTAATAAGTACGATATTAACCCCAAAATGAGTTTTTGTTTTTTTAAGATTTTTGACGTTTAGGCGGATTTTTGAGTTTTAGTCTATTCCGAGACTTATAGTAAAATTTTATGGCGAACAGTTCTGTAGAATATTATGAGCAGCTTTAAGCCCGTTGTGAATGAGTTTTCAATAACTCCTGGAAGAGGGGACCGAAAAGACCCGTTTAATGAGTCGGTTGAGGGTTAAACTTGCGTGCCAAAATATTCCTCGATATTTTATCAGTAATATTGCCGAAGACACTATATACCTAAAATGCAAGGATTTCAAGAAATCATAATTCGAAAATGATCAACATTCTTGAAAAAGGGGAAATTGCCCTCCCTTTTTAGGTTACCTCCCGACGTAAACATTCAAAACGACGGCACAGTGTCTTCTTTTTAAAGTGCCTCTTTCATAATCTGTTTGAATTTCCCAGTAATTATTATTTTTTTTTTTTTTTTGTTGCACAGTGTAATTATCATAAAAAAAACAATTTCAAATGATTCTGTCGTAATGATTTAATCTTATCTTATGTAAAAACAAATCAAAAAAGGTTCGTCCGTCCATCCCTTATAAATTGAAACACAGAAACAGTTATGGCCACGATATATTTCATAGGGTTCATAACTATTTTGATATGAAATCCCATAGAAAACATATGGATATTGAATAAGGAAGTTGCGAAATAATTGATCAGCCTACATGATCAATTATACAACATTGGAACCATGTAGTAGACTTCAGTTGTCGCTGCTTACCAATATAAAAATGACTAACCTTCACATAAAACTGATTTTTTTGCAAAGGTTTTAAATAGCTAAACTTAAACAATAATTCATAGTTCAACCACTCAATGAACTTTTTTCCTTGCCAACAACTACTCAGATTTTTATTCTCGCCAAAAAAATCCCAAGACATCCACTGACTTAATAGCATCTATTATTGCATTTTCTTCTAACAGAAGACACATAAAGCGAACGTTTTTGTTGAAAAATTGCGAAAAAAAACAAAAAAAGTCTTAAATATTTCTACATCATATTGCAACAGTAGAACCAAGACGAATATAGTTTAACTTACATAGTTAGATGAAAACCACAAAAGAGAATTGTACATTCATGTTTTTTGGCCAATATCATCGCATGGTGGTTGGTAAAGTGTTGGAGGTTTTAGTGCTTCCCTGCAATTACATGTAACGCTGACTACTAGTTCAGACTCCTTTCTTCATTTGCTGGTTTCATAATGTAAAAAAGAAAAGATAATAATATGATGAATAGGCGGTCATAATGCAATTTAGAGTCTGAGTGAAATGTTTGCTGGAGCATGTGCTTCTTATAAAACTTCCATTGAAGTTAGGTAGGATGAAGATCAACATTAAAGTAATGTACAAAGTAACTGACACTAATACATGTCTGAATGTCGTAAAATCACGTATTTAACAAATGTATAAATATTTCAAAACCCCTTCCCCCTTTAATAAATTTGTAACTTTTCGAACTGAAAACCAGTGGAGAAAGCAGGAAAGTGGGAAAGGGTCGACTATATGAAGCCCACTATATATGTGAACAGACCTTAATCATTCAATACACATGCCATTCTACAATATGTGCAAAATTTAATTTCACTCGAGCAGATATAAAGTCGCTGATGTACCTTTTATAAGAACCTGACAAACTTATGTAATGCTGGACCGATTTCAACAAAAACTTCACACAAGCTAATCCGATTTTAATTCAGATGGTTGTGCGGAAACATCAAACTTTGGGTGTTTGGTGCACCATT